TCTGTCGCCACTGGGCCTATAGCTAGTTGACTTTAGATATAGGATGTGTAACCTTTACCCAGCGGGAAGCCAGGGGCCCTAGGAAAAGTTCTCAGAGGCTTCCTTTACAAAAGGAATCTTCAAATGGCATAAAAGGTACAACAAAGTCTTTTATTAATGAATCAAACAGGAATTGTAAAGCTTTCTTAACAGTCTATTGGCTCTTGCAATCTTGTTCACTGGGAACAGGCACTATCTTCAATAACTTTCTTCAAAGGAAAATTCCCCCTTTTAACTTCTCCCAAGGCTAACTAAAATCCAACCCTCACTGGTGTGGGCTCCTCTGCCAGGCTGAACTGCTTCTCGAAACACTGAGAGGACCTACCACACAGGCAATGGATGTTCTTTGGAGTTTAAGGCTGTCTTCCTGGAAACTCCCAAGGCTGTAGGACTCTTAAAGCTGTGGGAATGCTTCCCTGGCGTTCTTTCCCTGGAGCTCTTAAAGGTTGAAGCCTTTGTACAGGGGAAGTAAACACATCCTATATATTGGCTAACCTTGCTGTGACTGACTGGAAAAGGCTCTCTTCCCTCCAAAGCCTAGAAAGGGGGCGGAACCAGGGAACCCAATGATAATTGACAGGTGGCTTGCCCTATGAATGCAGCCAAAAGAAGCTACCTATCTGCAGAGTCCCTGAAACTTAGAACTATAAACAAACACTCAGTGCAAAGCAAACAAATTTGGAGCTCCTAGAACAGCTCTTCCAGAACACATGACATCAACGGGGCTTGGCCAATCATGGCGACGTCAGTTCTGTTTTTCACTGTTATAGCATCTCAGCTTTCTTTGGCGGATTACCGTGAGCTGTCATCATTTCAGCTGACTTGAATAAAATTCCTTGGTGGCTTCTTCTTCAAATTGGTGAGATTATTGATTAGGAATTATTGGGTTGTAGCTTCTTCGTCTCACCAGGGACTCAGTATCTACCCTTCAAGTTTTGTTATCCGCGGCCCGGATCTCACTATCCACGGTCAGTCTAAAATGCTCTATTTCAAATGGGTCTGACTAAGTGGCCCTTGAAGCCTCCTCCAACTCTAGGATTCTATGAATTTGTGGATATGAAGCAGTGACCGTATTGGTTTACCTTTTCTCCATTGCTGGATGCCAGTCTTTAGTGGCCAGACACAAAGCACTGAAGACTGGCATCCTTTTATTTTACTTAGGTGGTGTTTTCATGTTCATGGCATATCTTTTTATTATCATCAACAAACCGTGGCGAGAGTATTTCAACAGCCCGGCTGCCCAGTCATAGCAACACCTATTGAATGACTCCTTGTGTATTTATTGTATAAGATCAAGACCAGAATAAAGTCCAAAGAAAATAGCGCACAGATAAGAAACAATTATAACTTGTACGCTGCTCTGAGTCCCCTTCAGGGTGAGAAGGGTGGCATATAAATGTAGTAATTAAATAAATACATAAATATTTTTTTTATTTATTTATCGTGTCAGGGGCAGACCAAACAGTTGCATTGTATTTTTAACAGACAAACAAAACACAAAGTTTGCATGCTTGGTAGGTGATTAAATGTCCTTTGACCAGTAGTGCCTCGGGTGTTGCCGCAAGAAGGTCCTCCATTGTGCATGTGGCCCCATTTCTTAAGGTTGGCTCTGCATCTCATGGTGCCAGAGCGCAGTCTGTTCAGCACCTTCCAAATCGCCCAGTCCTCTGTGTGCCCAGGGGGGAGTCTCTCATTTGGTATCAGCCATTGATTGAGGTTCTGGGTTTGAGCCTGCCACTTTTGGACTCTCGCTTGCTGAGGTGTTCCAGCGAGTGTCTCTGTAGATATTAGAAAACTGTTTCTTGATTTAAGTCGTTGACGTACTGGCTGATACCCAAACAGGGGATGAGCTGGAGATGTCTCTGCCTTGGTCCTTTCACTATTGGTTGCTATTTCCCGGCAGATAGGTGGTGCAATACTGGCTAAACAGTGTAATTTTTCCGTGATAATGTGGCATGTCTCATTAAGAGCCACATCCACTGTTTTAGCGTGGTGAGATGTGTTCCACACTGGGCATGCGTACTCAGCAGCAGAGTAGCATAGCGCAAGGGCAGATGTCTCTACTGTGTCTGGTTGTCATCCCCAGGTTGTGCCAGTCAGCTTTCGTATGACATTATTTCTAGCACCCACTTTTTGCTTGATATTCAGGCAGTGCTTCTTGTAGGTCAGGGCATGGTCCAAAGTGACTCCCAGGTATTTGGGTATGCTGCAATGCTCCAGAATAAATTATTATAAGGGATACTCAACCTGTGGTAGCTTTATCATCGTCATCATCATTTAATTACTTATTAATTGCCCTCCATCCAAGATGCTCTAGGCGATTTACAAGCTAAAATTGTAAAGGATAAAAATACATAATACAATGATTAAATTAACATAGATCAAATGCTCTAGTAAAAAGCCAGGTCTTAAGTGCTAGGGTAAAAGGCCCTAACTTACGCATGGCTCTCATGTAGGGTGGCAAGGAATTCCACAAGGCAGGGGCAGAAAAAGAAAAAGCTCTGGGCCTGGTCCTTTCCAAGTGCACTTCTCTAGGACCCGGTATATAAAGTAAGTCATGTTGGGATGGTCGTTGCGACCTTCGATGATGGGAGAATGAGAGACGGTCCCTAAGATACAATGGACACTGGCTGTAAAGAATTTTAAAGGTCAGAACTAGCATCTTATATAGACCATGGTAATCAGTTGGAAGCCAATGCAATTGCCACAACACTGGTGTTATATGGCATTTCATGGGTGATCTTGTGAGTAGCCTGGCTGCTGCATTCTGAACAATACGGAGCTTTCGGGTCATAGACATCGGAAGGCCAACGTACAGGGCATTGCAATAGTCCAGCCTAGATGTGACCGTGGCATGGATGACCGTTGCCAGAGCCTCACCAGATAGGTAGGGTGCCAGTTGCCTCGCTTGTCGTAGATGGAAAAAGATCTGTTTGCTGGCAGCAGCGACCTGAGCTTCCATTGTCAGCTGCGAATCCAAAATGACACCCAAGATCTTAACGGTAGGCGAAGGAGATAGGGCAGCACTATCAAAGGTGGGTAGCAAATGGATCAGACCAATCGAGCGGCCATGCCAGAGAATCTCAGTCTTTGCTGGGTTCACCTTCAGTCTGCTAGCACGTAGCCAGTTCGACAGAGCCTCCAGACATAGGGTGAAATTGTCTGGTATTGACGTTGCTCCAGGCTCCAAACGCAGAAGGAGTTGGATGTCATCCGCATATTGATAGCAATCTAGGCCGAAACTCCGAACCAAACTAGCAAGGGATCTAACATAGATGTTGAAGAGAAGAGGGGAGAGAATTGCACCTTGGGGTACCCCACATAGGAGGGGAGATCTTTCAGAGACTCCACGCATTGGCTCCGGTCACACCAAAGAACTCACACGCAGGACAAACCATGTATTGCACCTTCCAGTCCTAATGTGGAGAGAGCTTTACTCACAAGAGGATGCCTTGCTGCACATTAGAGAATCTACATTGAAGAGAAGCCAGATAACAGCACAGAATGGGTGAAAAGCTTCCACTGGCGTCATGGGTTAATAATCCTCACATATTTGCAGGTTTGTTCTCAGGCTTTCCCTCCATTTGAGAAGGAAACAGAGGCAAGACAACAACAAACCAAAATGGGGAAGTCATCCCTCCCCAATAAAGGTTGCTAGGAATTGTGGAAGTCCAAAACACCCCTGGCTGATCTACACCGTAGTACTTACTTAGGCGATCCCTCGCTTTCTGAGGAAGATTGTCTTCCAATATTCTTGTGGGTCCGTATGTGGCTGTGGAGCCCTATTCTTGCTCTGCATCTTCTTCCGCAGTGAGGGCATTGGTTTCCAGGTGGAAGGCGGTCTCGGCCAGGGTTGGCTTGACGCGCCTTCCTCTTGGCACGTTTCTCTTTTTCACCCTCCACTCGTGCCTCCTCAAATTCTGCAGCACTGCTGGTCACAGCTGACCTCCAGCTGGAGCGGTCAAGGGCCAGGGCTTCCCAGTTCTCAGTGTCTATGCCAGAGTTTTTAAGGTTGGCTTTGAGCCCATCTTTAAATCTCTTTTCCTGTCCTCCAACATTCCATTTTCCGTTCTTGAGTTCGGAGTAGAGCAGCTGCTTTGGGAGACGGTGGTCGGGCATCCGGACAACATGGCCGGTCCAGCGGAGTTGGTGGCGGAGGACCATCGCTTCAATGCTGGTGGTCTTTGCTTCTTCCAGCACGCTGACGTTTGTCCGCTTGTCTTCCCAGGAGATTTGCAGGATTTTCCGGAGGCAGCGCTGATGGAATCGTTCCAGGAGTTGCATGTGACGTCTGTAGACAGTCCACGTCTCACAGGCATATAGCAGGGTTGGGAGGACAATAGCTTATAAACAAGCACCTTGGTATCCCTACGGATGTCCCGTCCTCAAACACTCTCTGCTTCATTCGGAAAAATGCTGCGCTTGCAGAGCTCAGGAGGGGTTGTATTTCGGTGTCAATGTTGACTTTGGTGGAGAGGTGGCTGCCAAAATGATCAACATTTTCTAATGTTACACCATTAAGCTGTATCACTGGCATTGGAGAGGGGTTGGCTGGTGCCTGCTGGAAAAGCACCTTGGTTTTTTCAATGTTCAATGACAGGCTGAGCTTCTCGTACGGTTCTGCAAAGGTGTTTAGCGTGGCTTGTAGATCTTCTTCTGAATGCGCACAGACGACGTTGTCATCAGCATACTGGAGTTCTATAACAGATGTTATAACACCGTAGAATGAATGCGGTTTGACACCACTTTTAAATGCCAGGGCTCAAAGCACATGGGATCCTCTGGTTTGCAATTCTGCAAGGCTCTCTTCCATCCTTCCTTGGCTTGGCCACGCCCACTCAACGCTAGGCCACGCCCTTTACATGGCTGCCCAAGTAACACTCCAACCGTGTGACGTCATTGGAGGACTAGAAGCGAGTGGAGCCGGAACAGGAAGTGGCCTGCTCCTTCGCTTCCTGCAGAGCGCTCTGGGACATCAAACTCCCTGGCTCTACCCTTTCAATTCTGTTCTAGGAGGGAGGCGTCAAGGCGGAAGTCGCCTTGCTGCTGTTGACAGGTGAGTGTTGAGGGCAAAGAGCTCCCCTTGATTGAGACCCAGGCCTTGACTGAATCATAGAATCATAAGAGTTGGAAGAGACCTCATGGGCCATCCAGTCCAACCCCATTCTGCCAAGAAGCAGGAATATTGCATTCAAATCACCCCTGACAGATGGCCATCCAGCCTCTGTTGAGACCCAGGCTTAGGCCTGTAGCGTCTGGAGGAACAGAGTTAGACACCAATGCAGGTATATTTACATTGTAGGCAGGTGCATTGCATATACACTGCATAGGTAAATATATTCTTCCTTTGGGGTCTTAACAAAGAAGTGATTCCAATATAGGCATCCATACTTGCCTAGGATGTTGATATTTTGGTTATGATATTGCAACAGTATGGATGGCAGGAGGATAAATGCTCCCCTTGTCTCTTTAGCTGGCTTAGATGGAATATGGAACAGGTAAAGAACAATATTGCCTATGGGTTGTTGTAGGTTTTTCCGGGCTATATGGCCATGTTCTGGAGGCAATTTTTCTCCTGACGTTTCGCCTGCATCTATGGCAAGCATCCTCAGAGGTAGTTTCAAAACGATCTTGACAGATTAGAGAGATGGGCCAAATTTAACAAAATGAAGTTCAACAGTGACAAATGCAAGATACTCCACTTTGGCAGGAAAAACGAAATGCAAAGATACAGAATGGGGATGCCTGGCTCGAGAGCAGTACGTGTGAAAAAGATCTTGGAGTCCTCGTGGACAACAAGTAAACATGAGCCAACAATGTGATGTGACTGCAAAAAAAGCCAATGGGATTTTGGCCTGCATCCAATAGGAGCATAGTGTCTAGATCTAGGGAAGTCATGCTACCCCTCTATTCTGCTTTGGTTAGACCACACCTGGAATATTGTGTCCAATTCTGGGCACCACAATTCAAGAGAGATATTGACAAGCTGGAATGTGTTCAGAGGAGAGCGACTAAAATGATAAAAGGTCTGGAGAACAAGCCCTATGAGGAGCAGCTAAAGGAGCTGGGCATGTTTAGCCTGAAGAAGAGAAGGCTGAGAGGGGATATGATAGCCATGTATAAATATGTGAGAGGAAGCCACAGGGAGGAGGGAGCAAGCTTGTTTTCTGCTTCCTTGCAGACTAGGACGCGGAACAATGGCTTCAAACTACACGAGAAGATATTCCATTGAATCATAGAATCATAGAATCAAAGAGTTGGAAGAGACCTCATGGGCCATCCAGTCCAACCCCCTGCCAAGAAGCAGGAATATTGCATTCAAATCACCCCTGACAGATGGCCATCCAGCCTCTGTTTAAAGCTTCCAAAGAAGGAGCCTCCACCACACTCCGGGACAGAGAGTTCCACTGCTGAACGGCTCTCACAGTCAGGAAGTTCTTCCTCATGTTCAGATGGAATCTCCTCTCTTGTAGTTTGAAGCCATTGTTCCATTGCGTCCTAGTCGCCAAGGAAGCAGAAAACAAACTTGCTCCCTCCTCCCTGTGGCTTCCTCTCACATATTTATACATGGCTATCATATCTCCTCTCAGCCTTCTCTTCTTCAGGCTAAACATGCCCAGCTCCTTAAGCCGCTCCTCATAGGGCTTGTGCTCCAGACCCTTGATCATTTTAGTCTCCCTCCTCTGGACACATTCCAGCTTGTCAATATTTCTCTGGAATTGTGGTGCCCAGAATTGGACACAATATTCCAGGTGTGCTCTAACCAAAGCGGAATAGAGCATAGGGAGCATGACTTCTCTGGACCTAAATATATTTACTTATTTATTTTATTTAGAAGTTTTCTATACCGGCCTTCTCAACCTCGACGAGGGACTCAGATCGGTTTACAGCATATATAAAGTACAATCATATAAAAACAACAAGTGCAGATCATTACATATTAAAATAGTACAATACAGTACAATATAACACCATCATAACATCATAAATATATTCTTTCTTTGGGGCCTTAACAAATAAATGATTTCAATATAGGCATCCATATTTGCCTAGGATTTTGATATTTTGGTTATGATATTGCAACAGTATGGATGACAGGAGGATTAATGCATCCCTTGTCTTTTTAGCTGGCTTAGATGCCACTCCGATATGGAACAGATAAAGAACAATATTGCCTATGTTTTTTTGGCTGGCTTAGATCTTGCTGCTTAGATATTAATATTGGCTTTCATTTTTTTTAGGATGTATTCAGTATTGCTCCAAAAGAGACTTGACAGATCATATCGATACAGGCAGTCCTCAAGTTACGAACAAGATATGCTCTGTAGGTTTGTTCTTAAGTTGAATGTGTATGTAAGTCAGAACAGGGACACTTCTTAAGTGTAACTCCAGCCATATATATATATATATATATAATAGCAAGCTTTGGATAGCATAGGGAAGGGTTAACAGCCCATTTCTTAACTGTAACTCCAGCTATATATGTGTGTGAGTGTGTTTGTGTGTATATATATGTGAGTGTGTATGTGCACACACACACACACATGCATGCAAGCTTTAGATAGCATAAGAAAGGTTTAATGCCCATTTCTTAAGTTTAACTCCAGCCATATATGTGTGTGTTTGTGTGTGTGTATATATATGTGTGCGTGTATGTGCACACACACACACGCATGCATGCAAGCTTTGGATAGCATAAGAAAGGTTTAACGGCCCATTTCTTAAGTTTAACTCCAGCCATATATATGTATGTTTGTGTGTATATATATGTGTGATAAATATGTGTGTGTGTGTGCATGTGTATGTGTGTATGTGCACACACACACATGCATGCAAGCTTTGGATAGCATAGGAAAGGGTTAACAACCCATTTCTTAACTGTAACTCCAGCCATATATATATATGTGTGTGTGTGTGTATGTGCAATTTCAATTAGTTCGCCCTCATCCAGCCCATCACAGTTGCCAAGCATCGCTTCAGGACCTGAACAGCCTCCTTGTTGTTCATTTGTTCAGTCGTTTCCGACTCTTTGTGACCTCATGGACAAGCCCAGGCCAGAGCTCCTTGTCGACCGTCACCCCCCCCCCCCCCCCAGGCTCCTTCAAGGTCAAGCCAGTCACTTCAAGGATGCCATCCATCCATCTTGCAGCCCAGGGTCCGGATGCGGCCCCCGCAAAGCTTTGATGTGACCCATAGAGTCTCTGAGTCCAAGGCCCCTTCTACATTGCCATTTAAAATCAAGATGATCTGCTTTGAACTGAAGCACATCATGTGGGTATTATATGGTAGTCTAGAAGGGGCTTAAAGCTTAGAAAGGGAAGTCACACACAGCACTACAGAGGAGCCATCCAAACCCATTATTTGCCCTTCCGAGTGTTTTACCTCTGAGCATTTCCTTTCTTTATGCAACAAAGTTACCACAATTACCTGGGGCAAAGGGGCTGCTGGTCAGGACACTGGGCATGCTTGGGTTAGAGTAGTGGGGAGCAGGGATGAAATTTTAAGGGGTATCAGACTTTTTTTTCAGGGAGGCATTTGGAGAAGGATAAAGGAGCACGTTGCTGGGGAAGTTGTGGGTGGAATGGGGGGATTGCATGTTTTAAAATGCATTTCAATTGTGTTTATTGTATTTTAACTATATGATTACCGTACACAGAGTACTATTCAATTTTAATGTTGTTTTTATTTTTATTTTTGTGTTCGCTTTGTTTTGAATGGGTCAAAATGTGTGTCCGTTAGCCACCTTAAATCCCCTCAGGGAAAGGTGGGGTATAAATCGGAAGTCAAGTAAGCATTTTAGATACAAAATAGTCGACTTGGATTGGTTCTGGCTTTTTTCATGGTTTTAATATAAATACACTATATTGCTCTGCTTATGGGGAAAGCTGACATGTGCAATACAAGATGATAGAAGTGACTGATGAGATCTTATTTTCTTTTTCATGGTTTCATTCATGACAGCGAGGATTATCCATGGTTACATTTAGACCTATGGGGAGATGTTTTCATTGAATGGGAAATCCATTGTGATTTTTCTCATGTTGTGAACCCATGAATCAAAGATTGCATATAAACCTTGATCAAGGGGAACAATCTGCAAAGTTTTGTGAGTTTCTTGTTGGATAAAAAAAAATCCACAAATTATTAATAGCTTAATAATTAAAAATATTTGCTTGGGCTGGCATGGCACCTTTGACTGTGTCCCTTGGCCCCAACCCGAAGTCTATTATTTATTTATTTACAGCTTTTATATTCCGGCCTTCTCACCCCGCAGGAGACTCAGGGCGGATCACAGTGTACACATATATGGCAAACATTCAATGCCAATTTTGACATACAACATATACAGACATAGACATAGTCTAGGTTTTGTATACAGTCTTGAAGGTACATCATGAAGGCCACCATACTGGCTAAAAGCTAGAAGGCTGTGATTTTGATTGGGGTGCAGGTACCCCAATCCCTTTTGAAGGATCGATCCCATTTTCTTGAAAGCACTCCCTTTCCTCCAGAAAATGGGAAACAGCAGCTTTGTTTTGGAGAGCTTTGCTGTGCTTTTTAGGGTGCATCTACACTTGTGGAATGAATGCAGATTGACATCACTTTTGCTGCCATGGCTCAATGCTATGGAATCCTGGGTTTTCTCATTTGATGAGATTCCAGGACCCTTTGGCATTCTGGCTCAAGGCCTTGTAAAACTACAACTCTAGGAATTCATAGCATACAATTTCCCGGTCACAATTTTTGTGCCATGTGTTTTGTTAATATTTTGCTTTTTCTCCAAGGATCTCAAGGCAGTGTTACTCTATTTACATACCATTGTAATGAGTACATGAGTTTACACTGCCATATAATCCAGTTCAAATCAGATAATGTGGATTGCAGAAGGGGCCTGTCATGGGTCTGTGTGCCAAGTTTGGTTCCGATCCATGATATGTGGGATTCACACAACTTGCCTTCGCCTCCCTTTGAGGCTGAGAGAGAGTGATTTGCCCAGGGTTATCCTGTGGGTTTCCATGCCTGAGCTGGGATCTGAACCCTCCGCTCTCATCATTAAATCACTACTGTCTTTCAGATTCTCAATAGCTGAAAAATACCCTCTTACTTGAGTGATGATGCAAGTGAAAGTAAATCTAGCTTCACGAACACCTAAACAAAAGTACTTTCCAAAAATAAAGGGAAGGGGGGGATAATTTAAATCTGGGAAATATATATTTTATTTTTCTCCAGTTTATGCATGGATTGTGTGTTCATGCACAAGGGAATGGGATTGATCTGGGACGGCCCTTGTGGTCTCTTTCAGCTCGGTGCGTCTGTAAGGGTTAAAGTGACAAGTGTGCCATTCCTAGAGAGGAATTTGTTTGACAGCGCATGGAACCTTTAGAAAAACCCAAGCTCCTCCTTTCCGTTTCCGGAACCTCTCTCCCCTTACACCCAAAGGAGTGTCTTTTTCCCAGCAGGGATCATTGTGTGCGCCAAAGCTGTCAGGTGAGTTGACAGAGAGAAAGAGAAACAAAGGGTAGTGCTAATGAAAAGGGGAACAAAGCACAAAGACGTCTCTGCAGAGAGCTTTTATGTTCAGTGGTGAATCTGGATGTTGCAAATAGCCTGCAAGAGGTTTCCTGCCAGGGGATGTTGCCAAGTCATACTATTTCCCTGCCAAATCCAGAACTGTGGGCTGTGGGTGACAGCTACTCATTGCGACTTGAGGTGCAGGTACACCCAAAGCTAGGGAATCATGGGAGTTGTAGTTTGGAGAGGCACTAGCACTCTTTGGCAAGGAAGGCTCAAGACCTTTTTGTTGGTGTTTATTTGTTCAGTCGCTTCCAACCCTTTGTGACTGCATGGACCAGCCCACACCAGAGCTCCCTGTCAGCCGTGTCCACCCCCAGCTCCTTCAGAGTCAAGCCAGTCACTTCAAGGATACCATCCATCCATCTTGCCCTTGGTCAGCCCCTCTTACTTTTTCCTTCCATTTTCCCCAGCATCATTGACTTCTCTAAGCTTTCCTTTCTTCTCATGATGTGGCCAAAGTACTTCATCTTTGCCTCTAATATCCTTCAGTGAGCAGTCGGGCTTTATTTCCTGAAGTATGGAACGGTTGGATCTTCTCGCGGTCCAAGGCACTCTCAGAACTTTCCTCCAGCACCACAGTTCAAAAGCACCTCTCTTCCTTCGCCCAGCCTTCCTTATGGTCCAGCTCTCACATCTGTAGGTTACTATGGGGAATACCATTGCTTTAACTATGTGGATCTTCATTGTCAGTGTGAGGTCTCTATTCTTCACTATTGTATCAAGATTGGTCATTGCTCTCCTCCCAAGAAGTAAATGTTTTCTGTTTTCCTGGCTGCAGTAATCTTTGCACCTAGAAATACGAAGTCTGTCATTGCCTCCACGTTTTCTCCCTCTTTTTGCCAGTTATTGATCAGTCCGGTTGCCAGAATCTTGATTTTTTTTATGTTTAGCTGCAACCCGGCTTTTGCACTTTCTTCTTTCACCTTGATTAGAAGGCTCCTTAGCTCCTCCTTGCTTTCGGCCATCAAAGTGGTATCATCTGCATATCTAGGGTTGTTAATGTTGCTTCCAGCAATTTTCACCCCAGCCTTGCATTCGTCAAGCCCGGCACATCGCATGATGTGTTCTGCATACAAGTTGAATAGGTTGGGTGAGAGGATACAACCCTGCCCTATGCCTTTCCCAATCTTGAACCAGTGGTTGTTCCATGGTCGGTTCTTATTGTTGTTACTTGATCAAGGCCTTGTAAAACTGCAAGATTCCATAACAAGTTCTGCCCAAATGGACTAAGCTCTTACTTTTCTCCACTCTACTCAGAGAAGGGGATAGGTCAACACAGGTTTTGAGGAGTTCATTATTTGACTAAGCTCCAGCTACCTTGAATGCTGTCAGAAGAGAAGTGCAAGATGCAACAAAATGAAAGGCAGACAATCTCCAAATTACAAACATCCTACTAACAAACTACTCCTAGTTAAAAACAGGAGTGAGACAACAGAAAGTGAAAGAAATCTACCCCTAGGAAGGGAAATCCACTCCTGGAAGAGTTATCACCATGAGGAAAAGTGTCTCCACTGATGCTTTATCCCCAATTCTTGTTTCCACAATAAAGCATTTTTTTTTCAAAATTCAATTATCACAGGGACGGAAAGTGAGGGTAACTCAACAGGGTCACAGACAGCAAAAGAAGTGCTAACCTTTCCCTGTGCTATCCAAAGCAAGCAAATAGATACAGTAGAGTCTCGCTCATCCGGGCCGGAAGAATATCGGATAAACGAAACTGTCAGATAATACGGAGTCTCCTACTGTTACCAGTCTGACACGGTGTTAGACACCGAGAATACTAACAACAGGGACTCAAAAGGTTAAGGCAAGGCAATGCCTTCGGGGCTAGAGGGGCCCAGCAGGAAGTGCCCGGATGTGGAAGAGGAGTGTGGAAATCACAGAGGGAAGGAGGGAGGACGCTTCTTCTTCCATTTCCGGTCTTGCCCCTTTTCTCCCTTTCTTCCCTCCTCCTCCTCCTCCTCTTTGTCTTGCCTTTTTCACTTATTGGGAATGGAGAGAGAGTTGAGGAGCACTCTTTTAATTGTTTAGCCTGAAGACGAGAAGGCTGAGAGGAGACATGAAATATGGCTTCTGTGTCAGTAGGGATGGTGAAATCCGCTCTCGACTTTAGTCAGAGCTTCATGGGATTTGTCTAAGACAGAGCTTTTCAAACGGCGTGTCATTTGTTGGTGTGTCACGTAAATGCAATGAGAAATGAAAAAGGTCTTGGAGATATACATTATTATCTTACAAATAATATATTTTTAAATACTGTATACAAATTAAAGGTTTTCATGAGATGTGCCCTCAAACATTTTGTTATTGCAGTTTATGTGTGTGTCTTATAAGGGGTTGGTCTAGAAAAACCGAATTACTTTGTCGTGAAATGATGCATGTCTAAAAAGTATGTCACCAACACGAAATGTTTGGAAAGCTCTGGTCTAAGGTGTGGCAGAGGCTTCCATTTTGGGTGCACAAGTGATGAATCTCTCTTTTGAGTACTGAAAATGGAGTCAAGCGAATGGTGAATCCATTCTGGGTTTTAATGTCCAAGGTACTGAGGACTGGGCTGTGGCGCAGCTAGTTAGTAGCCAGCTGCATTAAATCACTACAAGTAGGAAATCACAAGTAGGAAATTTAGGTACCACTTTATGCGGGGAGACTAATTTAATTAATTTATGATACCATAAAACCTTCCAGCAGTGTGCGTAGGAATGAGGAAGTACTCCATCAAGGACTCGATGTCACCAGTGGATGGTGAAGCGGCAACTTTCCGTGTGGCCATACCCTAAAAATAAGACATTGTGATAAGTGTGGCTATGCAGCATACAAGGTTGGCTCCCCCGTCAGGTCCCAGTTGATCTGTGCGTGCTGCAAACTGAGGCATAGAGGGAAGCATAGAAAGTGAAAGTAAAAGTCTCCTCGGTGAAGTGAGGAGCAGGACGCACTGCTTTAGATATTGTGTGTCCTCGGGGACAAAGTAAAGCTGTAGCTGCTGTTTTACTCAGTAGTGTGGGTCTCTCTTCCCCTCACCAGCCAGCAACACTCTGTGGGTCTCTCTCACCCCCCCCCCCCATAAACACCAGTAAAGCTGCTGCTCCCCAGCACTGACCAGCAACAGTCTGTGGGTGTCTCTCGCCCCACACAAACACCAGGGGAGAGGGGAGAAGCTTCACCAAGCAGTCTGCTACTGAACCCAGAGAGATCATCCCATAAATGCAGATTGTTGAGTCGGAGTGAACTATACATCCCAGCAACCAGAAAGTGCTGGTCTTGGCCTATAAAGCCCTATACAGCTCTGGCCCAGCTTACTTGTCCGAATGTATCTCCCTCTACGTTCCACCTCGTAGTTTAAGATCCACCGGGGAGGCCCTGCTCTCAGTCCCACCAACTTCGCAAACACATCTGGTGGGGACAAGGGACAGGACCTTCTCGGTGGTGACCCCCCCCTTGTGGAATTCACTCCCCAGTGAGATTAGATCTCCTTTCCTTTAGGAAAAAAACTGAAATTGTGGTTTTAGGACCAGGCTTTCGGTTATCAGGCAACTCACTTTGGACACGGAACTGGACCATATGATTGTTATGATAATGGAAACGGCTATGTGACTGTATAATTAATGTGATGGTTTTAAATTTATTGTATATTTATGGTTTTATATTGTTGTTATGTTATTGTGGCATCGAATTATTGCCAATGTATTTATTCTGTCTGTATTTTAACTTATTATGATTTTATGATGTTTTTAGATGTATTAGTGCATTGAATGTCTGCTGTTAGCCGGTTTGAGTTCCTCCACGGAGGTAGAGAAGATCGGGATATAAAAGTTTTAAATAAATAAATAAATAAATAAATGTTAGCTGCTCTGAGTCCCCCCTCGGAGGTTGAGAAGGGCGGGATAGAAATGTTGTAATAAATAAATAATAAACTAGTTACTTAACTAGTTACTGATTACTTAGTTTAATTACTTCGAACCACTGGTTTCTAGTTTGCTGTTTTCTTCTTCCACAGAAATCCTTTGTTGGTTATCACTTGAAGATTTCATGGCTTTCTACCTTTTCCTGTGAGACTCCAACTGAGACAGTTTGCCACATGACATCCAAATCAAGGTCTTAATCTGGGTAGCTCAGGCCCATTGCCTCCTCCCCAACATCCCAGACAGGGTTTTTATCTCTGCACTTTTCAAGTACAAGATGGAGAAGGGGATAGCAGAAGTATCAGGCATACTTGCAGCTCCACTGGGCCAACTAGAGACTGAACTAGAAGTGGAGACCACGATTAAAATGGAGGAAGTTCTACTCCTTGAACCCAGGATGAGATCTGAAGAGGTTCCTCATGTCATTCAGGCCGGGAGTATTAAAGCATTCCTCCATCGGGCCTCAGGAAAGCAGTTTCCTGAAACTCCGGGTGAAGGGCGCCTTCAAGAGTGGGAGACCCAGTGGCAGGAGTTCCTGAAGACGCTGGAATCTCCTGGTTTGGGCTGGGAGGGCCCACAGTCCCTGCAGGTAGAGCCCAACCCGTGGGATGATGCCTCAACCTTCCTGGCCTCTTTTGAGCAAGTGGCCACGGCCTTCCGGTGGCCCAAGGAAGAGTGGGCGGCCCGAATCCTCCCGGCGCTTGGAGACGAAGGAAAGGAGGCCATCAGAAGCGTGGAGGCCCAGGATAGAAGGGATTACGGGAAAGTCAAGGCGGCCATTTTGCGCAGGGACACCTTCAGCAGGGAGAGGAAGCGGCAACAGTTCAGGCATTTCAGCTACCAGAAGGATGAGGGGCCGAGAGGGGCTCACATGCATCTCCAGGAGCTTTGCAAGCATTGGCTCAAAGTCGACAGATGCTCCAAGGAGCAGATCTTAGAGCAGCTGATCTTGGAGCAGCTCCTGGCTGTCCTGCCTCCCGAAATCCAGGGCCAGGTCAGGGAACACGTTCCAGAGACCTGCATCCAGGCAGTGGCCCTGGCTGAGGATTTCCTTCTGATGCAGCAGGAGAAATGCGAGCCACAGGTATAAGATGATGTTCAGCCTTTAAGATGTCAAGAATCGTATGTCACTACTGAGGGAAGAGCAGAAGGAGAGGGGCTCATGGACCACAGATGGGCTCCTTTGGGGACAAAGCCATTTAGTTAATATTGCCGACAGAAAATTGGAGGGAGGTCCTGTACCTAATTGGGATTGTCAAGTTGAAAAGTGGAAGAGACTCTTGCACCTTTAGTTAGTATTGCCAGACTGAAAATTGGAGGAGAGTCCTGTATTACAATTGCCAGCCAGAAAACTGGATGAGACTCCCATACCTACAGTTGTCAGGCTGAAAATTGGAGGGAGGTCCTTGTTGGGTGAGTGGGCTTATTCACAAAAGACCCTCCTCATAAATGTACAGCAAAGTAACTTATCAGCAGCAGCGTGACCCAGCACCAGTAGCCCAAAGTGATAAAAATAACAAAAAGACACAAACCAATGTTGTCTCTTCCACATCAGGCTTTTTCTTTGTAGTAAAATGATATGATTGCACTATTTACAAGAATAGTGCACAAACAAACAAATACATAATAGCTTTACACACAGCATCCTTCACACAGAGGTTTACCTCACACAGAGGTTTATCTCACACAGAGGTTTACCTCTCAGTCCTCAGGATGAGACTAGCTTTGGCGCAGTAACTCTAACAGGCTTCGGCCTACTTACTCTCCTCAGGACAACACTAGCTTTGGCCCAACAAGCTTCATCCTACTAACGCTTTCAGTGCTTGACTCACACTTTTGTAATAAGACCCAGTTAATTTTTAATATTTCTGACAGTCCTGTACCTTTAATTGGGATTGCCAGGTTGAAAACCGGATGACTGAAAACAAGATACCTGAATCCCACTTGATGGCGATTTACAGAACTATGTCTTGCTCCAAGGATTAAAGTTGTAGAAGTCTGTTCCCAAATTCAGTCTGGCAATCCTACCACCGAGTAAAGTGGAAGTTACAACTTCCAGTTAGTATCCTGCTTTATGGACCTAAAATAACCTGGGGAGAAAAAAAAACCCGACTGCCTGAGAACCCAGAGAGTGTTTTCAATTTGATTTTGTGTAAAATAAATAATTTTCATATATTGATGTTGGTACTAATACTTTCAATGGCTTTCAGGAGCCCAGCAGAGTAAGTGTGTCTTTGCCTACAGCAGAGGAACAACTCCAGGCTTCAGAGCTGACAGAGAGTTGCAGAGAGGACAGCGGGGAGACCAGCAACCCTGAGAATATTGACGCTTTATTGGGTATGGTTCCATTCTTCATTGTTTATGTTCCACAACACCCAACCTGACTTTTCATATACAGTAGAGTCTCACTTATCTGACATAAACGGGTCAGCTGAATGTCGGATAGATGAAAATGTCGGATAATACAGAGTCTACTACTGTTACCCGTCCGACGTGGTACTAGACACCTAGAATACTAACAACAGGGACTCAAAAGGGTTAAGGCAAGGCAATGCCTCAGGGCTAGAGCAGCCCAGCAGGAAGTGCCCAGATGCAGAAGAGGAGCATAGAAATCACAGAGGGAAGGAAGGAGAATGCTTCTGGTCCTGCCTATTTCCCCCCTTTCCTCCCTCCTCCTCCTCGTCTTGCCTTTTTCACTTATTGGGAATGGAGAGAGAAAGTTGGGGAGTGCTCCTTTAATTAATTTGATTAAAGGGGGATTGTGGGAGGAAAAGGGGGGCGTCGGATAAGAGTGTCAGATAAGACGGAATGTCAGATAAGCGGAAGTCATATAAGCAAGACTCTACTATATAGGCAAAAGACACAGACAAAACATAATTTTAAAACAGGGTGGCATCCTGTTTGCGACATACACAGTCACCAATCCAACATTTCATGTTTTGGAAGGTAGTTGTCTACCTTTGAGACTATCCAAGGCCACACAGACTGGCCAAAAAGCACGCCAAATCCAGAAGTGGTCAGAAGTCTACTTTGATTCTGAAAAACTAGTGCAAATATATCCCAGTAAATAAAGTACAGTCAGCCCTTCACATTTTCAAGTTTAATTTTTGGGAATTTAATTGATATGCTGTTTCTAAAGCCCTGTATATTCCTAGAGAAAATACCTCTAGGAATCCTTAGGTCCAAAACACAACTCTTGATGCAATTTGGAAGAAACCTTATTACGTTACAGGGCATCCCTGACCTGGTTGCTTCTTTTCACAAGTGTGTACTATTCTGAATAAAAGGTTTGCAGAAACATATAGAACTATGGGAACTATCTCTTTTTTCCTATGTGTTTCCTGCCTCTACCACATGGACTGACTGCAAAGGTGGGTTTACTCTCTATTTATTTATTCCAGTGGATCCAATTCTGTATGATCCAGTGACAGATGATGAAGATGATAGCAATGAGCAAGATTTTCCTTTGCAAATGGAGCCGCCAGATCCCTCACCACAAAGGACAGAACATGCAGTCTCCCCATCTTTGCAACAGTCAGAAGCTTCTGGAAGTTGTAATGAGCCAGTAATGACGACAAAGAAAAGCTCGCCCAAAAAAGCTGTCAAGAAACTGAATAATTTGAAGCAGGAAAATGGGGGAACCAAGAAAGCAACAGCATCTTCCTCAAAGGGCAGGAGCTTAAAAGAGAAAGATCCCACTTATTCCCCCATTCAATCCAGAAAGAAACCCCATAAATGTACTGAGTGTGGGAAGAGCTTCTGTGGGCGTGCCTACCTTACTCGGCACCAACTGATCCACACTGGGGAGAAACCCTTTAAATGCTCTTACTGCGAGAAAGACTTCCGGGAACACATCCACCTTTTGAGGCATAAGATGACGCATACGGGAGAGTTCCCATACAAGTGCAAGGACTGCGGCAAAGGCTTCCGCCAGTCTACCAGCATGCTGATGCACCAAAAAATGCATGTTGGGGGCATCACCTACAAATGCTCAGAATGCGGGAAAAGCTTCAAGCGGCATGCCAAGTTCAGCCAGCACCAGAAAACCCACCTGAAGGGGAAGACCTACCCTTGTTCTCGCTGCACGATGACTTTTGATCGGCTCGCACTCCTTTATGACCACAAAAAGACCCATGCGCCAGCAAATGCTTACCGGTGCCCCTTCTGTGACAAACTCTTTCGGAACCAGTCGACCTTTGTGAAGCACAAATTGTCTCACACGGGGGAGAGGCCCTACACGTGCTCCACATGCGGCAAGACCTTCACCCAGTCTTCGAACCTCAACAGGCACGAGAAGATCCACACGGGGGAGAAGCCGTACGTATGCCAGACCTGTGGCAAGACCTTCAACCAGAGGTCCCAACTGACCCAACACCTGAACACCCACAAAGGCTTCAAGGTGTATAAATGCTTAGACTGCGGAGATACCTTCACGAACCGTTCGAACCTGATGAAGCACAAGATGATCCACAGGAGTGAGGAAGAGGAAACCTAATTTGACTACATAAAGAAATACTTAGATCATAGAATTCTAGATTTGGAAGAGACCCCAAGGGCCATCCAGTCCAACCCTATTCTGCCAGACCCAAACAAAGCAACCCAAAGATGGAGACACCCCCATCCCCAGGCATAAGCAGCTATAAGCAGCACCAGCTTCTCCTGGCAAAACTGATTATGACCAGCCCCAATTTTAAAAAAATCAAACAAGCAAGTATGAGTTATAGCTTAGAAGAGAATCACACTTTCAGAGTGCATACTCTGGAAAGGGGACAAGGAATCATAGAATCATAGAGTTGGAAGAGATCTCGTGAGACATGCAGTCCAACACCATTCTGCCAAGAAGCAGGAAAATTGCATTCAAAGCACCCCCAACAGATGGCCATCCAGCCCCTGTTTAAAAGCTTCCAAAGAAGGAGAAGGGTTACACAAATCATTTTGCAAGTCATATGTGTCTCACAAGCTGCACAATTCCTACCCCTGGCATAGATCACTGAATTTCCCTTCTGCTGTTAACTCATGAAGAAGTAGAGTCAAGTCCTTTTTCTCCCTCTGACTATTCATGGAATCATAGAGTTGGAAGAGACCTCAAGGGCCATACAGTCCAAGCCCATTCTGCCAAGAAGCAGGAAAATCACATTCAAAGCACTTCTGATAGATGGCCATCCAGCCTCTGCTTAAAAGCCTCCAAAGAAGGAGCCTCCACCATACTCTGGGAGAGAGAGTTCCACTGCTGAACGGCTCTCACAGTGAGGAAATTCTTCATCATGTTCAGGTGGAATATCCTTTCCTGTAGGTAAGGCTTGTTCCATCTCTTAGTCTCTAGGGCAGCAGAAAGCATGCTTGCCCTCTCCTCCCTATGACTTCCCCTCACATCTTTAGCCATGGCCCTCATCATGTCTCCCCTCAGCCTTCTCTTCTGCAGACTAAACATGCCCAGCTTTTTAAGCCACTCCTCATAGGGCTTGTTCTCCAGACCCTTGATCCTTTGAGTCGCCCTCCTGTAGCTTAGACTCAACATCTCCCTTCAATTGCAGTGCCCAGAATTGGACACAGTGTGATTCCAGGTGTGGTCTCACCAAGGCAGAATAGAGCATGGGTAGCATGACTTCCCTGGATCTAGACACTAGACACCTATTGATGCAGGACAAAATCCCATTGGCTTTTTTAGCTGCCGCATGATGTTGTTGGCTCGTGTTCAACTTCCTGTCTGCGAGGTCTCCAAGATCTTTTCCACACGTCCTTGTGTTGAGCCAGGCATCGTCCCCCATTCAGTATCTCTTCATTTCCTTTTTTCTGCCTAAGTGGAGTTATCTTGCATTTGTCCCTGTTGAACTTCATTTTGTCAGTTTTGGCCAATCATCTGTAATCTGTGAAGATCGTTTTGAATTTTGCTCCTGTCTTCTGAAATATTAGCTATTACCCCCCCCCCCCCCCCCCTTTGCAGGCTGATTATGTGGATTACTGCAACAGAGTGCATGTGAAATGGCTTTTGGAAGCATTGGCACCAAGACCTGTGCTCTGCTTCTTCTTGGTTCAATACACCAGCTCCGCCCTTTCCTAGAATAGAAGGACCTAACGATGGTAGTGGATGTGCTGGCGGCCTAAGGGTTGGACCTTTGCAATGCTCTGGGGGATGTTTACTTCAACCTCCCAGGGTCCAACTGGAAACATTCACCCAGAAAATTGCCTAAAGGCTGTAGAATGAGACTCGACAGCTTAAATGCGCCATCAAAATTTAAAACACTTTTAAAAACCTGTCTCTTCTGACAGGTCAATTTAGAATGTGGTATGAATGATTTTATTATTCCTCTCCAAATCCACCTCACTATTTAAATTCAGCAATTAGTTTAGGATGTTTTTCAAATGTCAATTAATAATGACAATAATAATAATAATAATAATAATAATAATAATAATAATAATTTATTTTTGTACCTCTCCTCCATCTCCCCGAAGGGACTCGTGGTGGCTCACACATGGCTCAAAGTGCCTAAAACAACGCATAAAATAAAATAAACACACAATACAAGATAAATCAGTCATATATTTTAAGAAAAACAATTTGAACTCAAAACAGCACCCAATAACCTATAGTGTCGACTGTCATAAAAACATGGCCGACGGTAAACAAGAAGAAGGGAAAGGGAAAGTGCAAGTTGTCGCTAAGGAACAAGGGCATGGGATGAAAGTGCTGTGTCATAATTGCAGACCATTGGGCTAGACATTTACAAAGGCTTGTCTAAACACCCAAGCCTTCAACTCCCTCGGGAAGGATGACAGGGTGGGGGCCTGCCTAATTGTGGGGAGGATATTCCAAAGCCGGGGAGCCACTACCGAGAAGGCCCTTGTCCCCATCAACCATAGTTGTGACTGTGGTGGGACTGCAAGGAGGGCCTCCCTGGCAGATTTTAACACTCATGCAGCTATATAGGGGGGATGTGGTCACAAAGATAGGCAGGGCCCAAACCATTTAGGGCTTTATAGGTGATGACCTGCACTTTGAATTGGGACCGGAAACTTATCACCAGCCAGTGGAGCTGTTTTAATAGGGGCATCATACATTCTCTATAATTAGTTACAGTCAGCAACCTGGCTGCTGACCTTTGCACCAGTTAATAATAATAATAATAATAATAATAATAATAATAATAATACTAATCTTTATTTATGCCCCACCACCATCTCCCCACATGACTGGCCACATGACCTTGGAGGTGTCTATGGACAACGCTGGCTCTTCGGCTTAGAAATGGAGATGAGCACCAAACCCCAGAGTCAGACATGACTGGACTAACATGAAGTCAAGCCCAAAACTACAGTACTGCAAAATAAAATACCAACAAACAAATAATAATATGAAAATAAAATACATGAGTTAACAGGATATAAAACAAACAAATGCAAACTAACATGATAAGAGAAATAAGACAGCGGGCGGGCCAAATGCACAGGGTAAAATTGATAAAACCCTGGGTGAGATAAGTAAATGGAGAGGAATGTGTCTGAGGAGGGAGCTCAGAAGGGGCGAAAAATGAGGTTAAGCCTTCATTAAGGACGGGAGAAAATGCATCATAAGGACAGAACTGTAGTTGGGACGGACATGATATGAGGGTATATGTTCACTCATTGAAAGCATGCCGGAAGAGCCAGGTTTTTAGGTCTTTCTTAAAGGCTGTCAGGTTAGGGGCTTGCCAAATTTCAATAGGTAGTGAGTTCCAAAGCCGAGGCGCCACAACAGAGAAGGCTCTCTCCATCGTCCCCACAAGGTGTGCTTATGATGAAGGTGGGAGAGAAAGGAGAGCCTCCACAGAAGAGGTTTATAGAGGGAAATGCGGTCACGAAGATAGGCAGGTCCCAAACTGTTCAGGGCTTTGTAGGTGACAACCTACACCTTGAATTGGGACCGGAAAATGAACGGCAACCAATGGAGCTCCTTAAAAGGGGGGGGGGGGTGGACTGCGCCCTGTAATTCGCTCCAGTTAGCAATCTGGCTCCCGATCGGTGGACCAATCGAAGTTTCTGGCCCGTCTTCAAAGGTAGCCCCACATAGAGTGCTTTGCAGTAATCCAACCTGGATGTAACTATCTTGGACCACAGTGGCCAAGTCAGCCCTCTTCAGGTACAGTCACAGCTGGTACACAAGTTTTAACTGTGCAAAGGTCCTCCCAGCCACCGCCAACATCTCAGAATCAAGAGTCAACGTTGAGTCCAGGAGGACCCCAGACTATGCACCTGCATTCTTGGGGAGTGTAACCCCATTGAGCACAGGTTGCCACCCTATATCCCGATCAGCCTCGCGACTGACCAGGAAGACCTCTGTCTTGTCTGGATTCAGCTTCAGTTTGTCAGCCCTCATCCAGTCCATCACAGCGGACAGGCACTGGTCCAAGATCTGGGAGGCTTCGTTGGAATCTGTTGGAAAAGAGTAGTAGAGTTGAGTGTAATCTGTGTAGAGATGGCACCAAACTCCAAAACTCTGGATGACCTCACCTAGCAATTTCATGTAGATGTTAAAAAGCATGGGAGATAGAATGGAACCATGCAGGACCCCACAGGTCAATGGCCAGGGGTCCGAGGAGGTGTCCCCCAGCTTCACCAAATCAGTTCAATCGTCCAGGAAGGAGCAGAGCCACTGCAGAGCAGTGCCCCAAAGACCCATTCTGGAGAGCAGTCCCAGAAGGATACCATGATCAATGGTATCAAAAGCCACTGAGATGTCCAAGAGAACCAACAAAGACACACTTCCCCATCTAGTTCTCTGCGGAAGTCATCCACCAAAGGCAACCAAAGCCACCTCCGTACCGTGACCAGGCCTGAAACCAGATTACGATGGATCTAGATCATCAGTGTCATCCAAGAATCCTTGGAGCTGAGAAGCTACCACTCGCTCTAGAACCTTGACCAAAAAGGGAAGATTAGAAATTGGCCAGATGTTCTTCAGTACCAAGGAATCTTGGGACTGTTCCCAGGACTGGTCTCACACTGGGAGTGTAACACACTGGATCTGATCAGGAAGTGAGGGCACTCCTTTGATCCTAGTAAAAGTAAAGAACCTTATGAGATGCAGGATTTTGTGTGTAACTCAGCATTGAATTATGAAATGACTGAAGCTGGGTTGTTATAGGTTTTTCGGGCTATATGGCCATGTTCTAGAAGCATTCTCTCCTGACGTTTCGCCTGCTTCTATGGCAAGCATCCTCAGAGGTTGTGAGGTCTGAAGCCTTCCACAACATAAAAGTATGGCAAAGAAGCCTTGTACTTCTTAGAGCTTATGCAGAGTATCTAGTCCCATCTAGTAGAGAAAGGATGGCAACTGCGTACTTCTCCATATACTATTAAACATCCAGCTCCCAGCTTTCACCATACAGTAATTGGCAGTGCTGACTAAGACTGCTGGGATTTATAGTTCAACAGTGAGCCCAAGGCTCATCCCTGAGCTAGAAGGGAGGATATTTAGTTGTGAAAAAAGTCCTCCTGAAAAGAATCTGAATTGGGACTCTCATTAAAAAGGGC